ATGAAAGTGAAAGAGGAGAGTGAAAAAGTTGGCTTAAAGCTCAACATTCAGAAAACTAAGATCATGGCATCTGGTCCCATCACTTCATGGGAAATAGATGGGGAAACAGTGGAAACAGTGTCAGACTTTAGGTTTGGGGCTCCAAAATCACTGCAGATGGTGACTGCAGCCATGAAATTAAAAGACGCTTACTCCTTGGAAGAAAGTTGTGACCAACCTAGATAGCACATTTAAAAGCAAGACATTACTTTGCCAACAAAGGTCCATCTAGTCAAGGCTATGGTTTTTCCAGTGGTCATGTATGGATGTGAGAGTTGGACTGTGAAGAAAGCTGAGTGCCAAAGAATTGATGCTTTTGAACTGTGGTGTTGGAGAAGACTGTTTGAGAGTCCCTTGGACTGCAAGGAGATCCAACCAGTCCATCCTAAAGGAGATCAGTCCTGAGTGTTCACTGGAAGGACTGATGCTGAAGCTGAAACTCCAATACTTTGGCCACCTGATGTGAAGAGTTGACTCATTGGAAAAGACCCTGAAGCTGGGAGGGATTGGGGGCAGGAGGAGAAGGGGACAACAGAGGATGAGATGGCTGGATGGCATCACCGACTCGATGGACATGAGTTTGAGTAAACTCCAGGAGTTGGTGATGGACAGGGAGGCCTGGCGTGCTGCGATTCATAGGGTCGCAAAGAGTCAGACACGACTGAGCGACTGAACTGAACTAGATTTGTCATAGCTCTTCTTCCAAGGAGCAAGCGTCTTAATTTCGTGGCTGCAGTCACAGTCCGCAGTGATTTTGGAGCCCAAGAAAATAAAACCTGTCACTGTTTCCAGTTTTTCCCCATCTATTTGCATGAAATGATGGAACTGGATGCCACGATCTTAGTTTTTTGAATGCTGAGTTTTAAGCTAGCTTTTTCACTCTCCTCTTTCACCCTCATGAAGAGACGGTGTAGCTATATTCTAAGCCCAGACTGCACTAGGCAGTCCGCCCAGGCACTGTCCCCTCCATCAGGCCCTGCCCAGGTTTCCCAGTCGGCCCCGCCTCCTCTTCACCAGATACAGCTCAAACCGGCCCCGCGTCCCTCCCGTCACCAGGGGACGCCAGCGCCTAAGAAGGCTTTCTGGCCGCAGAAGGCGACGCTCTAGGTAGCGGCGGCTGCTCCGTGGCCAGTAGCAGCGGCGCTCTAGCCCTCAGTGTGCCGGGCGGGCTCTCGGTGGTGCGGCCGGCGGGCGGCGATGGCGGCCGTACGCGGCCTGCGAGTGTCGGTGAAGGCGGAGGCCCCGGCGGGGCCGGCCTTGGGGCTCCCGTCACCTGAAGCGGGTTTGGACCGAGGCGAACCGGAGCCCATGGAGGTGGAGGAGGGCGAACTGGAGGTCGTGCCGGTTCGGCGCTCGCTGAAGGAACTGATCCCGGTACGGGCGGGGGGCGGGGGCGAGGAGGTCGCAGAGCTAGTGTCCCGCGCCCGAGCGGGCCGGAAGGGGAGGTGGCCGGGGCCGGGGGGAAGTCTGGGTAAGGGGGCACAGGGGCGAGCGCCCGGGGGGCGGGGGCGCCAGAGGGAGCAGAGACGGGGGAGCGAGAGAAAGGACGCCCGGGCGCCCGGAAATGGGTGTTAAGGGGGCTGGAGGAGGAGGGGTCGGAGAGACTGGGGCGGGGGGGTAGTTGAGGACACCCCGTCCGAGCCGCTCTGTGCAAGAGGGCGAGTGAGGAGGGGTAGGGCTTGTCTGGGGGGTGCAGTTTGAGATAAAGAGGGAAGCCCCCCTCTCCCCAGGCGGGGACACAACCTGGAGCGGCCCAGAAGGAACTGTCGGGCAGGGGGGCGCGGGCATCCTGCTCCGGTTTAGCCGGTGTTTGTTGAACTGAGCACCCGCGGTTTCCCTCGGGCTTGTCAGATGCAGAAACTTGGTGTTTCTGTTGTGATTTGAGGGTCATCTCGTCCCCGCGCGCCTCCACTGCTACACCGTGCCTCCAGCATCTCACCCTTCGTGGAACCAGAACATCAGCGAGCCAGCAGTGGTCCTTGGTCCCTCTTTTCTGTCACAATAGGAATAACGAGAGGTGTTTTGCTTGTGGTTTGGTGGTCTGATGTCTGGTTCTTAGGGCTGGTCTCAGGCCTGTGTGGCTCTTCTCGTGTATCGGTACTTAATTTCTCATCTGACCTGGTCAACTTTTTAACCACATGTCTGCAAGTGTTGCTTTTAAACTGAAATTATGGAAGAAAGTTTTTTTTAAAAAATGTAGGAGCAGTACAGATTGTAAATTATAATGACTCTGGCAACAACAGTTAACATAGTGGTTTACATGTTATCATTTAAATATCACAGAAGTTGTGAAGTAGATGTTGTCATCCCTTCATTCATTCCGTTGGACGTGTACTGTTGCATCCCCACACTTTGTGGCAGGCACAGTCCTAGCTGCTTGATCAAGATCAAGATCAGTCTCTGTCCTGGAGTTTATGTTCCAGTTGGGGGCCACAGGTTAACTAAGTAATTTCCCATAGTGGTGAATGCTGTGGAGAGAATAAAACATGTTAATGGGATGGAAGAGTGAAGAGGGAAGCTGTGGAGAGCAGGAAGCAGAATGGCACAGGATCACCAGAAAAGTCCTCTGAGATAGTGACATTTCAGCTGGACCCTAAGTGACAGAAAGGAGCCAGCCATGTGCAGATCTGGAAGAGTTTGTTCCCAGCAGGGGCAATTTAGTAAACCCAGAGGCTCTGAGATGGGAACAAGATTGTTTTATTGGAGAAATGGGAAGTTCTGTAGCACAAGTGGGAGAGCAGTAAAAGAGGTCAGAAAGGTAGGTAGATGCCACAGAAGAAGCCTAGGTCCAGAGAGGCCAGGGGACTTGTACAGTGTCTTCTTTCTTTTTTTTTTTTTAGTTCTACCAGTTTATTGCTACCAACCCATCTCCCTCCACCCTCGTGCACACATGCTCAGTCATGTAATCCCATGGACTTCAGCCCGCCAGACTCCTCTGTCCATGGATTTTTCCAGGCAAGAATACTGGAGTGGGTTGCCATTTCCTTCTCCATGTACAGTGTCTTCTAACCAGTGAACCTTAGATCTATGATTTGAGTCCCCCAGCTGCCAAATCTCATCCTGTTTTCATTGCACGGTTCATCATTTCCCTCAGAAGGTCGAGGTGAGCCTAGACTTTCTGCTTTTCAGTGAAGACTTGAGCCCCATCTGGTGGCCTGGCACAATGAATTTGTCCAGTCTGGGCTGGGGAGATGAGTGACTGTACCTTATCTTGGATATTTCTCACGAACGTCTTTGAATTTTCATTTACACGGATACCTTCAGTAGATGGAATTACTTTAGGTTGTGGACAGGCTCTGATTTAGAATGGTAGAGTGGTTGATTGCTACCATGGAGTCGCTGGGACAGGCTTCCTCATAATAAAGGGTTGTCAGAGTGGGGAACAGATTGCTGAAAAGAAGACTATCCAGAAGGAATGGGTTGTCAGGCTGTTGTTTATCATGCGCTTGTCCTCAGTTGCCTGTTAGCATTTCTCACCCATCCCCTTCATGTTAGGACACAAGCAGAAGATATGAAAACAAGGCTGGCAGTTTCATCACCGGAATTGATGTCACCTCCAAGGTAAGATACACCATGATTCATTTATTCATTTTGAGAAGCGGTTGAACTTAATGAGCAAGTCCCTGGGACTTGTAGAACAGCAGTTATTCATTACCACCTTTTTTGTTGTTGTTGGATTAAGCCTCTTTAAGTTTATATTTTGTGTTTCACAGTGATGCCTGAGACCATTCAGGCAGCATTTGTGTGTTCTTGAATCCATGAGAAGATAAAATCACTAGACACTTGTGCTTAACCATGTCCAAGAAAAAGTTCTGTTTGTTCCTTTTACATATATGTACATTTGGCTGTGTCACGTCTTAGTTGGGGCACGTGGGATCTTTTGTTGCTGAGCACAGGCTTGGCTGCCCTGCAGCGTGTGGGATCTTAGTTCCCTGATCAGGGATAGAACCTGGGTCCCCTGCATTGGCGGATGTCCCTATCCATTTTTTAAAAAATGTGTGAACTGTTTCCACTTTAAATGAAGCAAAGCATAAAAGTGTCTGGCACATAGTAGGCCTTTAGTAAATGTCTTTATTCCTTACTGATTGAGGCCTAGAAAAATAGACTTTCATGAATATGTGGCTAAACTTTGAAGGCCAGGCAGACTGAACTGTTTTCACTGCCTGGGAGTGTTACCTTTTATCTAGTGATTGCTATTACTAGATTACCAGCTTCATTGGAACTCTTCACAGAACCAGACATATTATTTTCCTTACAATCAGTACTTATTTGTTGCTTTAATTGGTGATGATATTCAGCTTAAACATTCTTTCTGATTTTAATGTGTGCCATTTAAAGAGTTCAGTTACAACTCTGAATAAATAACACTGTGTTACTATATTGGATGTATGAAAGCAAAAATAAAAATAAGTATGTCATGCTTTTTTGTGTTTTATCTGGGTCTCAATCTGTCTCAAATTACTTAAAGGCAAAAAGAAAGAACTGATCATCTTTTTTGATAGGAAAATAGAATGAAGTGAAGGTGTTTTCTTACTGAAACTGAAGAAGCAGTATGCAATCCTGTTTTTAAGCCTACACAATTTTATTATTATTTGAAACAAATATATGGGGGAAAGGGTGGTAGCCAAGAATTGATACTTTGGTTGTTACCAAAGGAAGGTAAACTAGTTGTTTCCAGTGGGAAGACTTCAGTGGAGAAAATTAACATAACTATTGGGAAATAACAGAAGTGTTGCTGCCTTACCAATCCCCACAAGCTTTCTATAGTCAGACCTTCAATTAGTGTGGTAAAGTCAATATACAATTAGTGAAGGTTCCAAAGAGCTATCACAAACCCACAGTTGGACCTGGGTATATTTTAGCTCTTGGAGAAAAAAAAACAAAATTAGGAAGCTGATTATTTGGTTTTTCAGAAAGCATCAGTGCTTGTCACTTCAAGAAGAAAACTGGCAATTCTGTGGACACAAGTTTAGAATAGAGGAGAGCGTTTCTTGACTTCAGTGTTATTTTTAAGCACAGAAAAAGCTTTAGGGAGTGGACTGCTCAGGCAGACATAACGTGATAGGTGTGATTACCATGCACACAGACGATGTGAAATGGGGGTGGTGGTGGGGCTGCTAGAAATAGCACTGAGAAGATCTGCCCCTTACTAGCTGAGGTGCCCCTCGCAAACATTTAAATTTTTTTGTGCCTCAGTTTCTGCACAGATACATTGATAGGCACCGAGTCATCCTAGAAATTATGACAGATTGCAGCACTGTTAGTGTCCACTCTCTCAGTCATTGCGAATATCCTGTTCTTTGCAAAAATGAGGAAAGGCACAATGTTGTTTATATCTTCTGAGTTACTTGTCACCGTTGTATCATTTGATGTTTATGATTTAACTCTCCTCCACATTTCACTTCTTTGGCTTTTTTTCTGTACCTTCTAGGAAGCGATTGAAAAGAAGGAACAGCGAGCCAAGCGCTTCCATTTTCGATCAGAAGTAAATCTTGCCCAAAGAAATGTAGCCTTGGACCGAGACATGATGAAGAAAGGTACAGGGTGTTTGGGGGTAGTTTTCCACAGTTTACTTGCCACGACCTTGCACTTCTGGCCTCACCTCACATGGAACTTGTGAATTCGCCATTTCTGAGGTGGCCTGTTAATGAGGAGCTGCATTAGCTGTGTCTCAGTGTTGTGTGTGTGTGTGTGTGTGTGTGTGTGTGTGTATTCATTTGGCTGTGTCAGGACTTTCAGGAGACTGTCTGTCTAAGGAGCCCCAGAGAACATCATGGAGTTGGTGGCAGATCGGCGATTAGAATTGTGGCTCTGTGGGACTCTTACTCATTTTCTGCTTTATTGTTCACTTTTCTTTGCCTTTAAATGTAGCAGGAGTGTGTCGCAGTGAGACTCTTTTAAGGGAGTCAGATTGGTGAGGGATACCGTTAATACTTCTGTTGATACAGTTTTGTGATTTTACTTTATTTTTGTGTTTTGTTAGGGTTAAGTAGTTTGCTTCCTGAAACTCACCCTGAATTCTTAAATAATAATCTACCCCAGTTTTTGAAGACAGTTTATAAATAGAAGGGAAAATTATTGCTTCCCTTTTAGTGAGTTCACAGCCATGTTTATTATTCCATAAATGCAAATGATCTCCCTTTGTTGTATTTGCAAATTTGAGACTTGGCAAACAGATTAATAGGCAGCCCTCTGAATGCACGTTAAAGGTCTGTGCTCTGCTGTGTGAGTTTCTCTAGGTTTGCCTATTTGATAAAAACATGTTGAATGAATGAAAGAATAGCTACTATTTGTTGGGAACTTGCTCTGTTATGAGGTACTGTGTTAATTAGCACATTACATATTTGTTTTGTACACATTTCTCACAACAACCCCACGAGAAATGTATTTTTATCCCTATTTTACAAAGAAGGAAACAGGCTCAAAGAAATTAAATAAATGCACAGGTTTACACAACTAGTAAAAGTGGAGTCAGGATTAGAACCCAGGTTTATCTGACTCTAAAGCCTTGCTCTTAACTGCTTTGCTCTGTAGCCTTACAGTGTATGACGTGCTAGCAGAGACCCAGACCTCCTTGGTCCTTCCCAGTGGTCAGAGTAGCTCGACTCTGGATGCCACTTCACTGATTTTTTTTTTTTTTTAATTAAAAGCTTTTAGATGATTAGAAAACCCTATTATACAGTTACAAATGTAAGGCAAAATAGTCATCAAAATGAAAAGTCACATTATGTCCATAGTTACATCAGACCATCTTAGGGTTATTAGATGTCATCAGTTTAAGAAGAGGCGTCACATGGAATTGTTGAAGGTGTTTGCAGACTTGGAGAGAGCCCTTTCCTTGAAATGGGGATGTCCACCACGGGAAGCCTTCCACTAATGAAGAGGGGAGTGCTCTGCAGACCCAGCAGTTAGACCGATTATGAAATGCCGCGTAGGAGTGAGCCCAGGACAGAAAGGCATTGTCTTGAGGATCAAATGGCAGACTCAGGAGTTTTGGAGTCAGCAGAAGTAAGCTCACATAGATTATCAGGCCCATCTTGTCCTGAAGAATCCCAGACGAGCCCCCAAGATGAAAGGTTGTTGCTGAATCATGCAAAGACGTCGGGGTTCTTGGCCTCCGGAGGAGAAGAATTTGATCCGGGGCCAGAAGCTGGATCGCTCAGAGCTTTTGTGTAATAAAGTTTTATTAAAGTGTAAAGGAGATAGAGAAAGCTTCTGACATAGACATCAGAAGGGGGTAGAAAGAATACCCCCACTTCACTGTTTTTATTATGCATCATGTTCAATTTGGAAACGTGATCTTGCTTGCCTCACAGGCTAGGTTTCCAGGCATCTGCTCGAGTGGTTGTTTGTTTCAGGAAAAGTCCTGTGAAGGCCAGGGCCAGCTGTGCAGCTGGCCGTTCGTGTGCCTGCACACTGGACCCACACAGACGTCTGAGGCCTCTCCCACAGCTCCACCTTGAAAGCACTGTGGTTTCACCACGCCTGTTTACTTCTAGTCCTGGGTGCACTCCATGTGACATCTTGCCTCTGATCTCGTTCATGCCTGTCACCCTGCTGATTTGTCCTTCCTTGTCCCACACTTTGTCTGGTTCAGGTGTCATTCCCTCTGCAGCATCCCTGATTACCCACGTCAGTCTCTCTTCCCGCCTGTGCTGGGGCTCTTCTGAGCCTGGAGCCCTCCTGGGATCCAGTCTCAGTTCCTTAGTGAACGTGGGCAAGTTGGTAAGCCTTTTTAGGTCTCATTCTCTTTGTTGATAAAATGGGAATATGATACCCTCCTGAATAGGATCTCTTCTTTTGGGGTTAAATTTTAATTAAAAAAAAATGCTTTTTGAAAAACAATCTTGATCTCATGATTCTGAAGATACTCATAAAAGACCGTAGATCTCCCTGGTCTATCAGTGGCTCGTTACAACCTGTTTTTGGCCCAGAAGGCAGCATGGCTTCAAACTGTGTTCTTGAACTTCAGAGAACCCTGCTGCCTTTCCCAGATCAATTTAAATTAGAGTGGGGGGTAGGTTTGGATAAATCTCAAAGTTACTATTTTTTCATCTCCCCTGGTGATTCTGTTGTATAGTCAGAGTTAACTGTACCCTAAGAGCGTGGGTTCTGAAGCCTGACTGTCTGTGTTCAAATCTTGACTTGTCACCTTCTAATGTGATCTTAGGCAAGTTATTTAGTCTCTAAGAACCTCAGTATCTTCATCTGGAAAGTCAGGTTAACTTAGTTCTTAAAGGGTTGTTGGGAGGTTCTAACAAAATGTTAGGATTTCTAGAGTGTTGTCTGACACATAGTAAATGTTAGTTATTACTATTATCTGGCGTTCTCCATCTTCCAGACAGCCATTTAAGTGGCCCAGCCTCTTGTGAGAATGGGGACATTGGAATAAACATCTTGATTCCTGCAGCCACAGTAAGGTATCAGGTTATTTCTTCTTATTAATATCAACAGTAGTGAACTATACCATTCTATAAGTGCTCACCACGTGCCAGTCACTCTGCTATCTGGTTAATGTACCCTTTCAGCAACCCCGTTGCAGGGAAAGTTTTATCATTTCTATTTTACTGGTGGGGAAAGGAAGATGCTGAGAGGTTGAGAAACTTGCCCAAGGTCCCTCAGGGAGTAAGGAGTAAGACTGACTGAGAAGTCTGGTCTGACTGAAGTCTGTATTCTTGACATCTCTGCTAGTTTCAGGGATGCGGTGTGCTAGACCAGTCTGTACTGAATGACCTGCTCCTCTTGAGTGACTGGGTGTTAAGCAGCTTGGATCTTTTTATCTCCAAGATCAGTGCCCTTGTGGTTGGAAGGGACCTTAGGAGTCATCTGGGTCCCGTATCCTACCCAGTGCTGCAGACATTTAGGCAAAGTTCCCGGCGGTCTCTGGCCTCTGCCTGAACAGTTCCTAGTGGTGGCATGAGAGCTATTTATGAAGCGGTCAGTCTTGTTTTTGGATACATCTTCATGTTGAAAAGAAATTGCTTTCTAGTAATTTCTATCTGTTAGTTGCTACATAACTCTTAGAACAACATTAAGTCATTTCCTCATTCACACAATAACTCTTCAGGTGAAGGAATGGGCAGCCTGTTCCCCTGGACTGTCTCACGTGACAAGACTCTCTGGTCTCCCTCCCCTAGAGCCTCCTCAGTTTCTTGCTGTCCTTCACCAGATGAGGTGCAGATTCCAGATTTGGTTGGATTTGTGGAGTGCTTGGCAGGACTCTGACCATGGTCTCTGTCCTGGCCACTTCATAGTAGTCATCTTCTAGTCAACCAGGGCACCATTTCTTTCCCCCAGGAACTGCACCTGTCGAAAGAGTCTTTCTCATTGTGTCCTTAAAAAACTTGCCTTTTTATTTATCCCAGTTAAGTTCCATCATGATTTCAAGACTCTGTTTTAGCCTGTGGAGTTGTGTTCATTTTAATTCTGCCCTTCAACATTTTAGCTATGCTCCTCCCTTTGGTATGGCTTCTGCATGTTCATCCAGTTGTTGGTAAATGTCAAACAGGATAATCCTGTATCATGCCATGACACACAGATCCATGAATGATAGTCTTATTCTATTTTCTGGCCCATCTCTCATTTTATTGTCATGGGGATCTAGATGATGTGCCTTAACAAACTTGAGGTAGAACACCGTCTGTGGTCTTCTTTGAATTTCTTGGCCTGCTAATCCAGTCAGGAAAGAGAAGAGGTTAGCTGGCTTGCTGCTTGGGAAAGACTTTCCTGTGGGAAAGACTTGGTTTCTTAAGGGATCAGAGATTCTGTCTAAGCTGTTTTTTAAAAATTTCTGAGAATGACAGTCTTTTTAATTTGTTTGGGAATTTCTCTTTTTCTTTTATGAAAGTCAGTATGGGATTAGTCCTCAAGGATTTAAGGTACCTTGCTCCTTCCCTGCAACCTCTTAGAGATTATTACCCAATTGTGAAATCACTGCTTCGTGTTTTAGTGTCAGTACAGTGGGGTGTAACTCTAAACTAGATGGTTTGAATCTATTAAAACGATTCCTTGGGGACTTTCCTGTTAGTCCAGTGGTTAAGACTCTGTTGCCAATGCAGGGAGTATGGGTTCGATCCCTCGTCAGGGAACTAAGATCCCATATGCCACAGAGCGAGGCCAAAAGATTAAAACAAAACAAAACAAAACTATTTCTAAAGCCCTTGTCACCTGTCTTGGGTTTTGGTTCTTACTTAATGAGAGCTGCTTCTGTCCGTTAGTATTGTAGCGAAATTGATCAACAGTCCTGCCCTTTTTCCTGCATCATTTTCCCAAAGCAATGTTACTCCAAACACATGGAAATAAAACCAACCATCAGCATTTTTGTTGAGCCTGTTGGCTCTGGACTATAACCTTTTCTTCTTTAGATGTTAGACAGTTCATGTCCACCAAAGAACATTTGGAGAATGAAGTAAGAAAAGTTGCCCATAGTCCTTCTGATCTTTTGAGTATGGACTTTATTTTTGTTTTCCCCTTTGTAGTCATGCTGCTTTCTTTCTCTTCACTTGACAGTCTGTCATCGGCACTTTCTATGTTGTCTTAGAGCCTGACACAGTTTTTCAGATTCTTACATCTATTATCTTATATTTTTTAATTTGCCCTTTATCCATCTCCCGTATGTGTTCTTTGGCAAGTCATGCTCAGCTAAACTTTGCTGCTTTCTCTTTTCTTGGGACCACCTCTCATACTCTGAGTTACTGTATTTAGTGTCTTCCAGGTTTTTTGATCATTCTGATCTTAGGCTTGTACTGACTACTACTTCTTTGGATTTTCAGAAATCTGCTTTCCTAAAAACTTGAGTTTCGTGTGCTGTGCTTAGTAGCTCAGTTGTGTCTGACTCTTTGTGACCCCATGGACTGTAGCCTGCCAGGCTCTTCTGTCCATGGGAGTTCCCCAAGCAAGAATACTGGGTGGGTTGCCACATCCCCTCCTCCAGGGGATCTTCCCAACCCAGAGATCAAATCCAGGTCTCCTGCACTGCAGGCAGATTCTTGACTGTCTGAGCCACCAAGGATCCCTTTGTGTACTGCTCCCTGTCAGTAATTGGGATCTTCCCTGTTGGAAGGGAAGATGATTCCCTCACCCCCTTGCTTGTGGTCAGCACTTGGTGAATACCTAGTTCTCATTCCCCACTTCATCTGTTTACTGCCACCTCAGCAGTTAGTCCTTGCTCATCAGCTGGGCCTAAATCTAGGTGCCATCTTTGTCGCTTTGTTTTATTTTAAGCAGTGACATTGTCAGCAAGGTGACAAAGTGTTGACATTTTGCTTTGGCAGGCTTCCATCGTATCTTGAGCTTGTCTCACATATGATTAAATCCTTCTTCATATCAGCATCTCCAAGATCCTGCTCCTTAGTCCGCTTCCTCTGCCTTCACCAGGAACTCTCCTTGTTGTTTATTACCTTCTTCAGAACCAGCTCTTTACTTCTCATAGGATTTTTTTCTTCTGAAATCATGGCATTTAGTTTGAAGAACTGAAAAAGTTCCCTGGGCTACCCCTTCAGTTTCCCACCCTGCGTGTTAGAGTCACTCTGCATGGCCAGTGTGGCTTCCGCCTCATTTGGGTCTCTGCTCATGTTTTTTTAATTTTTAAAAAAATAATTATTTATGTATTTATTTGTTTGACTATTCCAGGTGTTAGTTGCACCATGCGAACTCTTACTGAGGCATGTGGGATCTAATTCCCTGACCGGGGATCAGTCTTGCCCCCTGCATTGGGAGCGTGGAGTCTTAGCTCCTGGACCACCGGAGAAGTCCTTCTGCTCATTGTTGTACGGCTGGGCACTAATAAGGACTAGTGCTAGGACTCATAAATCTTGATATCTCTGTCTTCATGAATCTGAGTTGGCAGAAAGATACTTAACCTGATTTATTCTGGCCACATCGAATGGGCTCCCATTAAACCTATCTTTTACTCTTTAAAATGACCCCCCCCCAAAAATGGAATTTTTATCTGGAAGTGTTCACGTGTATTTCCGGTTTGTTTTAAATAAAATATATGACATATAAAAGCATCCTTAGGAGTCGTGGATGTTGAATTCTTGACAGAACTGCTTTGGAATAGCTGGGGAGAGAAGGGATACAGAGAGCTTACAGAGGTCCTGGTATTATATATAATGTTTTATTTGCCTCACATCATTTTAGGAATTAAAGCATAAAGCTAGGTGGTGGATCTAAGATATTTTAAAAAATATCTTTTCTTTGTGGATGTATTTGCCTATTTCACAATTAAAAAGATTAAATAATGTGCTTCAGGTATTTACTAAAAAATTAACACACAGTTCTGGTAATGCTGGGATTCCTTTTGACCACAGCCTTCAGCCTTTCTTCCTTCCCAGAGGTAAGAGCTATTATCAGTGTGGACTGAATTATTCCAGACTTTTTTTTCTAGATATTTGTGTAAATAAATATGTACCTTTAGAAAGTATATGATGATATTTATGTTTTTTTAATGTATGTATTTTTCTGAATCTTTTTTTTCACTCAGCAGTGTGTCTTAGAATCTTTCCGTGGTATGTGATAAATTATCTCTTTGTTTTTAACTGCTTGCTTACTGTTCTATGACTATCATATGGGTAAACCATGATTCATTTGATATGGATAAGCCATAATTTATTACTTTGATAGCTACTGGGTTATTAAAATAGTCCTGCAACGAACATCTCTGTGTGAGCCACTCTGTGAACCCATGTGTTAGGACGGATATTGAAGAGAATTCCTAAGCCTGTTAGTTACATTTGTAATAGGTACTCTGAGTTGCCCTTCAGAGTGGCTGTGCCAGTTCACACTCCCACCAGCAGAGGCAGTGGCTCATCTTGCCACTAACATACTAAAAGACTTAAGTTAAAACATCTATCTGGTCAGTGGAAACTGATAATCTTGTCTTAAGGTGGATTTTCCTGATCAGTAGTAAGGCCAACCATCTCTTGACATGTTTATTGGCCTTTTCTCTTTCTTTTTGTGTGAATTGCCTGCTCCTGTCCTTTGCCCATTTCTATTTGGGACTGTCATTTTCTTACTGATTTGTAGGATTTCTTTACTCCAGTTTCAGACTTTGCTTTGCATTCAAGGGCAGTGTCTCTTTTTTTCAGAATTGTCTGGACTAATACAGGTTTCTCTTTGACATACTTTTACAAAATGTTAGAATCAGTTTATCAAGTTCAGTGTATAATCCTGTTGTATTTGATATTCCTTTAATTACTACAGGTCATTTTGAGGCGGAGTTATCGTGTATATTATGAGCACCACTTGTTTAATCTTTTTCAGCCTAATAAGCCCATTCTGAATTAAGTCATTTGTTTAATGCTCTTGTTGTGAGATAAAAACTTAAAGTTTGCCTTGCTGTCAAGTCTTATTTTCTCTTGAAATAATTGTCATCTCTTTCAGCATATTCTTTTTTATTTTTTTGCAATGCGACATGTGGGATCTCAGTTCCCCGGCCAGGGGTGGGACTTGTACCTCCCTGCAGTAGAAGCACAGAGTCCTAACCACTGGACTGCGGGGGAAGTCCCGGTGTATTTCTCTTTAAAATACATGTTACCTGAACTGTCATAAAGGGGTACTGGCGGGATGTGCAGCAGCAGGTGGGAAAATTCTCTCATCTTTTCTGTGTCCTGTTTTCCTAGCAATCCCCAAAGTGAGACTGGAGACAATCTACATTTGCGGAGTAGATGAGATGAGCACCCAGGATGTCTTTTCCTATTTTAAAGAATATCCTCCGGCTCACATCGAGTGGTTGGATGATACCTCCTGTAAGTACCCCCAAGTCTTCTGTTGAATATGCTTTCATATATGATTTTAAAAGAGTTCTTGACATCTCAAATGGTGAATGATTGTGGCCAGACTGTGTTTAACCTCTGCCTTCAGCCCAGGAGAGAAAAACTCCCCACTGATGAGAACCAGAGTCCTTGTACATTAGCCAGCCTGTGATAGCATTTTCCGTAAGTGTTCCGAGTCAGCTCAGAGGTGGTGGTCAGGCCCCTGGGAGGTTGGTTGCTGGCGTCTGAATCCAGGTACACAGTTGAGACCTCTCCTCACACCCACAGTTTCCCAGCAAAGGTGTGAGTCCAGCTACACAGCCTTGGGGCTGCCTTTCCAGGGCTTTCAACTTTGTCATTGCAGCCGCTTTTCAGAGTGCTGTCTCTGACCTGGAACCAGACCAGAACCCTCTGAGCTGTGCCAGGCCTCTCAGCTCTGCTTGCCCTGGTCTGTTCTCTCGAGCGTCATCTGCTGGCCCTCATCTGGGGCTGTTCCACTTGTGAGCCAGCTGTGATTTCTGACTTACATCCCTACTCCAAGTCTAGCCTGACATTTGGTACCCACTCTGCTGGCTTCTGGTCCTGACTGACTTCTAGTCTGGCTTCACTTTCTGCCAGCATGCTGACCTGGTTTTCCCGGTTTTTCTGGCTGCTTTCTTTAGATGTTAAATCACCAAAAGAAGAAACATGACTGAGTTAAAAGATTTTTCTCCTTTTTTCTGTTTGCTTAACTTAGACCATCCAGATCAGGGGTTGGCAAACCTTTTTTTTGTTTGTTTTAATATAAAAGACTGGATAAAAAATACTGTAGGCTTTGCAGACCATACATATTCTCTGTGGAATCTACCCAGCTCTGCCATTGTAGCATGAAAACAGCCATAGACCATAAGATTGAAGGAGCCTGGCTGTTTTCTGTACAACTTTGTTTGCGAAAACAGGTGGCAGGCGTGTAGTTTATTGTATGTTACTTGTAACTAAATAAAGTACAAATATAAGTAGATAAATGGATGGATGATGGATGGATGAATGAATGAGTAATGGGTCATGGGCTGACTTTGCTAACACCTGATGTAACTAATTAAAACTATCTATCTAAGCGATGTTAGAGGGACCCTTAGCATCATCCAGCTCACTCCCTCTTGTTGTACATCAGAAACTGAGAAACAGAGGGGGGAAGTTATCTGCTCAAGACCATGTAGCGTATTGGGCTTCCCTGGGGACTCAGTGGTAAAGAGTCTACCTGCCAGTGCAAGCGACCCAGGTTTGATCCCTTGAAGCAGGAAGATCCCCTGGGGAAGGAACTGGCAACCCACTCCAGTATTCTTGCCTGGGAAATCCCATGGACAGAGGAGCCTGGCAGCCGACAGTCCATGGGGTCACAAAAGATTCACATACGGCTTAGTGACTAAATAACAGCAACAACAATGTGGCATATTATTAACAAAAAATGAGTATCTTTAGACCTACATTTTCCAAACTGAGATACAGGGGTAACTTGAGTTTGAGAAATGCTGCTTTAAAGTTGATCTTCTCAAAACTTTTTTTCTTGCTAAGTTCTCTTAAAGGAGCAGAATAAATTGGTTGCTGCAAAGCCAAGTGGCTGTCATGCCTCCATTCTATATATGCCATGGGTGCCCTCATCACCCACACTTTACAGTAGGGAAACATCATTTAGCATGTCTGGATGACAAGGAAGAACAGAGGGCTTCCATGTGAGGGGCAGAAAAATAAAGGATAAAGGACATTTATTTGACATTTTCATCATCATCATCAGAAACTGCTGGCACTTATGTATAACACTTACTGTATGTCAGGCATTTTTAATACATAGAACTTTTTTTTTATGGAGTACTTGACCATTATTCTGTGGGACCCAGTTTGGAATACTTCTCTAGGCTAATCTTATTAAAGAAGTTTTTACTACCAGGTTCTATACTTCCTTTCATTGGTTGGTCTGTACATTTATTGATGCCAGTCCGTAGCTGAATGATACTGTAGCAATGAATATAATATAGTCTCTGCTCTCAAGAAACTTAATCGCTTGGATGCGACGTGTTATTTTACATCTTATTTTAGGTAATGTGGTTTGGTTGGATGAAATGACGGCTGCGAGAGCCCTTATCAATATGAGTTCTCTGCCAGCCCTGGATAAGATAAGAAGCAAGGATGCCNGTGGTTTGGTTGGATGAAATGACGGCTGCGAGAGCCCTTATCAATATGAGTTCTCTGCCAGCCCTGGATAAGATAAGAAGCAAGGATGCCAATGAGGACAAGTCATCCGAGAAAAGTAAAAAAGGTAACTGACCACAGAGGAAGGACTTTGGGACTGAAGGTCCTAATCTTTACAATTTGAATTTCTGTATAGTATTATGTAGTATCTCACTGCCAGTTATTTCCGAAACAAGCTGTGATACTTTAGATCATTAATAAAGAGAAGGAGACAATGTTAGACTTTTAACGTATGTGAGATGGAGTGAAGATTCATCTTGTCTCTCATATTGCATTTTAGACAAGCAGGAAGACAGTTCTGATGACGATGAGGCTGAAGAAGGAGAAGTTGAAGATGAGAACTCAAGTGATGTAGAGGTCAGTAGAGGGCACAGGTGTCTGTGAGCTTTCATCGTAAACAGCTGCCTGCATCCTTGATACCTGAGCCTTAAAGGCTTAGGATAATAGGATGTTGTGTTCCGCTGACTTGCACCATTGCACCTCCTGAGGGGGGCCCAGGCTCTTGACCTTTTATGTTCTTGTGGGTGTAATGAACGATTCATCTTGAGATCTTAGTACTCACACTTCTGTATGAAAGGAAATGGTTTTATTGAGAAAGACTTTGCAGTGCTATCTAATCAGTAAAATTAAGGAATAGCAAGTAATGGTGTATTTCCTAATGGCATATGTACTGTTGTTGGAAATATTGAAGTGTATTCATTTTTAAATTATTTATTAAGTGCCTACTATATACCAAATTCTAGGTGCTGGGGATATAGCGTCAAGCAAAACAAAGTCCTTGCCCTGTTGGAGCCTACATTCTAGTGGGGAAGACAGACAATACACAGATACGCAGATATGTAATGTAATGTCAGGAAGTGATGAGTGCTATGAAGAAAAGTAAAGAAGGGTAAGCGGATAGAGAATGATGGAGATGATTCTTTTAGACAAGGTGGTCAGGGAAGACCTCTGACTCAGACATTCTGCAGAGGAACTGGTGCTCTGATGCTTATGGGTTTTATTAAAAGTACATTGCTTTCTTAATCCATGGTATCTTTGCTACTGAATGAACATGAAGAAAGGCTTTAATTTTTATATCAAAAATGCTCTTTTTTTCTTAAGTTGGACACGTTGTCGCAGGTAGAAGAAGAGTCTCTGCTAAGAAACGACCTTCGTCCAGCTAACAAACTTGCTAAAGGAAATAGGTTATTCATGAGATTTGCTACAAAAGGTAAATGATAATTGGTATTGATTAAAAAAATTTTTTTAAAATTTGTTTCTTTTTGGTTGTGCTGGCTCTTCCTTGCTGCTTGGGCTTTTCTCTAGTTTTGGCCAGTGGGGGCTCCTCATTGCGGTGGCTTCTCATGTTGTGAAGCGTGGGCTCCAGGGTGCCCAGGCTTCTTCAGTAGTACTTGTGTCTGGGCTCGGTGGTTGTCGCTTCTGGGCTCTTAGAACACAGTCTCAGTGGTTGTGGTGCAGGGGCTCAGCTGTTCCTTGGCATGTGGGGTCTTCCTTTATCAGGAATCGAAACCGTATCTTCTGCGTTGGCAGGCGGATTCTTTACCACTGAGCCACCAGGGAAGCCCCTGACTTTTATTTTTAATTGAAGTGATTTTTATTAAGTGACGCCTTCTCTTCTGAATTGGAACTTAGACCAAGTAATCTCAAAGATCCTTCAAATTGTAATATTCTGCACTTAACAAAATCGATGACTTGCTGCCTGAATTGGAATTTCAGACACTGAAAGTGGATAATAGCGATTTGTATACTTTTGTGATATCTGGCTAACATAAGTTATTTTCTGTTAAAGCTGGTTTGCCCCATATGCTTTTCAGCTAATTTATCTTTTGGACTATGAAAATTTTTAAAAACGTCATGTATCACGGCAGTGTCTTCCTAGACGTTGCTAATAGTACTATTCAGCTCTAATTCTCAGAAGAATTAAATTAAAAGCCTATTAATAATTTATAAGACCTTTTATGCACAGTGATTTTGATATGCATTAATAATGTGGGGGGAGTTGTTTTGAGTCAATTGAGAGTTAATCGGAAATGACAACCCTTCACCCCTGAATACTTTAGTATTTCTGAAGAACAAGGACTTTGTTTTACACACAGTCATCAAAATCAGGAAATTTAACATCAGTGCCATTCTATTATCCAATTCACAGTCTGTGTTCAGATTTTACCAGAACCCCCGCTGTGTATTTTAAAACTGCCTGGCACACATTGAGTGCAGTATGTTGGCAGTCTTTGATGATGGTGACTACAGCGACGATGATGATTGTCAAATAAACTTGGGTTATTCTTTATACTACTTCCCTGCTAAACTAGGATCCACTCCAGGACCGGGCGTTTAAGTCTGCCTTGTTCCCTTAGTATCCCTGAATGTGGAACTCCTCCTCTGCTTTGTTTTCCTTGACAGAGACATTTTTAAAGAGAACAGGCTCGTTATTTTGTAAGCTGCCTCTTAGTTTGGGTTTGTTTGATGTCTCCTCCTAATTAAGTTCGAGTTGTGCGTTTATACCATAGAAGTTGTGTCATAATCAGGAGGCACACTGTATTTATTGTCACCTTCCGGGGATGTTAGCCATTATCTCCTGGTTAAGGTAACAGTCATCAGGTTTCTCACTGGAAAATTATTCTTTTTCTATTTTTAATTTGCAGTTTTGTGGAGAGATGCTTTGAGGCTGTGTAAATAGCCTGTTCCTCATCAGATTGCCATATAGTAGCTTTAGATCCATTGATGACTTTTTAATTCTCTGATTTACTAGTTGGCACTTAACTGTAAGGAAGAGCTTTCCCTTTTTACCCATTTATTAATGTATTTACCTGTTTTTTAAAAAATGCATTTACTTATTTTTATTAGTTTAGATTCATGGAGTTTTATTCAATGGGCTATCATCTGTTCTGTCGTTATTTTGATTCACAAGTTATTTTGGATCTGATCAGTAGAGCCTCTTCACACTGTGTTCTTTTGACATGCCTGCATGATTCTTTGGGTACTTTCTTGCTATTATGGCACCAGGAACCATCTTGGTTTGCCATCTCAACTTGTACTTTCCTAGCCCCAGATCTGGAATCAGCTATTTCTCCAAGGAGCTGGTGGGCGTGTTTTTTGTAGGGTGCACATTCTGGTTTATGCCACTGGGTTTACCTGTAGCACTGGGTACATTCTCATCGGTATTCATCTTTTGTAGTGGGTGCGTGCCCAGGGAGTTGTCAAGAGGCCTTTATATTGTGAAAATATGTGTGTTCACTGATCACCTTTTCTTCCTGTTAACTGGCATTTTACCTTGATAAATGGGGGGTCTTTTCTCCTTTTGCTTATTTGAGTGCATGGTTTACCAAATACATTTACCTATGGATAACCGTTTCTTGGACCCTGATTCTATGTTACAGCGTGTCGTCATTCAGAAATGAATATCATCTTTCAGGGGCAGTGAAAGTGCCACCTCTTCTGAAAGCCTTTTTGATTCCTAAACACTGGTGATAACCTACACTCTCTTATGCTTCTTTGGAATTGTGGTGGTGGTGTTGTTATTGTTGCCGGTATTTTCTCTTTGAAGTCAGCTCCCTGACAGCAGCTTAACCTCATTGTCTCTGAGTTTTGCACCACCCTCTTGACACTGCACTGCTTTAGGAGGACTCAGAGTGGTCATAGTGCATCTTTCTCTTCTGTAGGCAGTGTGTGCTGATCTGATCCCAGCTATGAAAAACATTCTTTTTGTTTTTTCAAACCCACTCAACATTGCCTTCACACTCACAGGGAGTCCTTGGTAACTGTTGTAATTAATTTTTAGATGACAAAAAGGAACTTGGAGCAGCAAGGAGAAGTCAGTATTACATGAAATATGGGAATCCAAATTACGGAGGCATGAAAGGAATTCTTAGTAACTCTTGGTGAGTCCAAAACCTTAAATACAATAGTTTATATAGTACTTAAGCTTTTCATAATCCTTCAGGGAGCTACATTAGTTGGTATTCTTCAGCGGGTATTCTGCAGTGGACTGTCAACACCATGTGTGGATGGACGTGAAGGAAGACAAGAAGAAAGAGCTCAAGGCTTTTACCTGTGGTAAATGGTGTGAGAATGCTGAGTTTCAGTTTCATTCGCTGTGTCTCTGTGTCAGCACCTAACGTCACATCAGGGTGTAGTTGACATTAACTAGTGGACGTCGAGGCCCTTCCTTTTGGTTTTTGATTCTGTGCTTATTTTGGCGATGTTGCAGGAAGCGGAGATACCATTCCCGTCGCATTCAGCGGGATGTTATTAAGAAGAGAGCCCTGATTGGGGACGACGTTGGCCTGACGTCCTATAAACACCGACATTCCGGTAGTTGCCTGCTCAGCTCTTGGGTAGACACATGTTTGGCTCCCGAAATGACATTTTTATCCTTAATACAGTCCTTTAAGGTTCCAAACTTTATCATCCTCTCTTCCTTGCCCTCACCCTCTGCCAACATATAGGAAAGTAAGTCAAGTCACAATTAATTTGAAATTGCCCATACAAAGAGGTCAAATGATTTTATAAAAGCTATTCTAACAATAAAGGCGAAATGTAGGAAAAATTAGAACTTTTCCTAAGGAATCTAATTTTCCTATTAATAACAAAAGCTGCATGAAAAAAATTTTAATTATTTTGTCAGATGAGTTGATTTTATTGTTCTTTTGTCTGATGATGAAAATGAGCTGCTGTGTCTAGTACTTTGCTTATTGGCTTGTGCACGTGAATGCTGCAGTGAAGTGGGATACAACGTGGGTTTCATTTTGTTTTTTCCATCTGTCTTTTTTCTTTTCTTCTTTTTCTGTTCTTCTGTCTCCCCCTCCCACCCTTCAAATCTCCCTTTCTTCCCCCCTTTCTTTCTTTTAGTGCTTATTCTTTTTTTTTTTTCCATATTCTTTAAAAAAATTTTTTTCTATTGGAGTATAGTTGATTTACAATATAGTTATAGTTTCCAATGTACAGCAAAGTAGATCAGCTATACATATACATATATCCACTCTTTTTTAGATTATTTTCCCATATAGGCCATTTCAGAGTATTGTATAGAGCTCCTTGTGCTATACAGGAGGTTTTTATTATTTATCTATTTTATATATGTCTGTGTCCTCAGTCCCTCAGTAGTACCTGACTCTTTGCGACCCCATGGAGTGTAATCTGCTAGGCTCCTCTGTCCATGGGGTTTCCCAGGCAAGAATACTGGACTGGGTTGCCATTTCCTACTCCAGTGCTTATTCTTAAAGAGCTGTTTTCATTATATATTATAGAGATTTGTTTTTATGTTGAAACCGATCTGTGAAAATCTACATGCTTTGTAGAACCAGCCAAGTCAGTGTACAAACACAGAATAACAGCATACACTTTTATCTTTGTAGTAGGGACAGAGAGAGGTGAAATCTATACATTTTAATTTAATGTGAATGTCCAAAGTTAGATATTTGAAATCTACATCTTAATGCACATACTTTTCTGTTAGACAGTTAAGCTTTTCCAATTTCACTTACTTTAAGATATTTTTATCATATAATCTTAATATTCATATCAAAGAAATTAAAAAGCAAAAAGATAAGAACTGATTTCATTTTACATTTTTCTTGTTTCTTTTCACAATAAATGTAACTGTTGTGGACATATATTTTATATTATGCTTATTCATTTATAAGCATTTTTCCATAACCTTTAAAGGTACATTTCATTATTCATGGCAGTTATGTTCTGTAAAGTCACCGTGATCATTGAAAACCATTCAGAGACCCTTAATCACACTTGTTGTCAACTGATCAATATAGAACCTTAATTTGATATATGTTTCTGATTAAGGACACCTTATTTAATACATGTTGATTTATTAATGTTGAACTCAAGGGCAGCAGCCCTGGAACTCACACCCGAATAAAGCTTGTCTCACACATGTATTTTCTCCATAAGGCACATCGCAGCCTTCTTGTGTTTAGAAACACTAGACAGCTTTGGAATTATGCTCAGAGGCTGTTTGTAACAGGGAAATCATCAATAAAAATCACAATGGTGTTAAAAAGTAGCACTCACAGACTGCAAAAAGCACAGTTGTTTACAGTGTTTGAGAGCTGCAACATAAAGGCAGGACACAAGCTTGTTTCCCTGCAACTGGGAACTTGCATGGCTGGTGTCTCAATTTTTTGCTGCTCCTGTGCATGTCCACAAATGACCACAAAAGTGCCATGGGTGTTGGTTGTGGAATTACAGATAAAATTGGGAGATTCATAAATCTAGAATCTCTGAATAATGATGAGGGTCTGTATTTTAGATAACTTTGTAAAATTGCATCAGGCTGCTAGGCCATCCTTTACCTAGGTGTTCATGTATTGTAAGGATCAGAATGGTAACCAGATCAGCACTGTTAGAGACAGTGCTCCAGTAAACTCTTAGGATGGAAATCTCATCTTCTGAAAAGGTCACTGTTGCAGAAGAGAAAATCAGGTGTTAGTATTGGTGCTTTTACTAACAGCGATTTTTGGTTAAACTCCTCAGGACTGGTGCATGTTCCTGAGGAGCCTATTGAGGAGGAGGAGGAGGAGGAGGAGGATCAGGACATGGATGCTGAGGACAGGGTGGTGGTGGAGTGCCACGAAGAGCCCGCGGCCCGCAGGCAGGCCCGGGAGCGGAGCGTGTCCAGGCGGTCCAGTGCCAGCAGCTCAGACTCTGACGAGATGGACTATGATCTAGAGCTGAAGATGATTTCCACTCCTTCGCCAAAGAAGAGCATGAAAATGACCATGTATGCTGATGAGGTGGAATCTCAGTTGAAAAATATCAGGTAAAAATATTCTTTACTTTTTATCACTGCTAGCTTTTAATTTGATTGAAATCCAATTACTAACTTCTTCTTAGTACCTCTTAATTTTATCATCACTTTTATCGGTTCTAATTTCAGCCCTTTATAAAATTTGAGTAAAAGCATCTGGTTTTTCCTCTTAATGAACAAGAAGTGATCCTTGTTAAAAAACTATGAATGATACAGAAGGTGAAGTCACCTGTAATCTCGTCCTCCCCTAAGAGAGTGACTGTTAGCAGTTGGGTGAATAACTTTCTTGTCAGCTTTATGTGTATATATAACATATGGGGAAATTATAGATACATTTGTACAAAAATTAAGTTACACTGTTTATATTGTTTTGAAATACGCTTTTTCCATTTAATATAGTGTAGACATTTGCTCTTTTTTCAACACCCTGTGGCCTGAAGGATACTAGTTCCCTGACCAGGGATTGAACCCGGGCCCTCAGCAGTGAAAGCATAGAGTCTTAACCACCGGACCACCAGAGAATTCCCTCGACTTCTGTTTTTTTACTGTTGCACTAATTAGGTACATTCCAGCTATTGTGCAAAACAACACACATGCTTTCAAATGTATGGCTAAACTTCTTCCTGTAAGATTTTACCCACTCACATTACCACCTGTTACCTAGATATTCACCAGCCTTAGGTATTATCACTGTGATTTTTGGTATTCGTGGACAAAGAAGTACAGCTGTTTTAATATGCATTCTTTGATGACTAGTGGGGCTGAGCAGATTCCTGAGGGCAGAGATCATAGGCATGTCTCAGAGGGCTGGGGGCTGGGGTGCTCTCTTAAAAGAGTTCCTAATGGTGTGTTTGGGAAAAGAGGAGAAGAAACTTGTAAGCTGGTTCATTTGTATGGCTTTGTTCACATCCTTAGTTTTTAGAGAACTTTCCAATGGCAGATGCTGCCAGAATAATGCCGTTGCCCTGACACAGTGGGAGAGGTCTTCCCTTTAAAGAAAGGGATTGCAGGCTGTCTTATATCTTGACTGCAACCAGCTCACAGCCGGGAGAAGCAGAGGCCTTCGGTCCTTCGCAGGCCTCTACTTAGGCCTCTGTCCCAGGAGAAGGGCAGGCGCGGTCACGTGCTCTGCAGTCGCGCTCAGATACCGCGTGTGGAAACCACCCCGGAAAACTCGGGGGGCTGCTCACCCCAGCTGGCCTCCTTAGCAAGCCGGTCGTGACTTTTGTGAGCAGATAACTACTGGTGTATGGTGTTGTTAAGTGAATGTTGGCCGTATTAGATTGGGTTTCTTAAATTTTTTTCCAAAGTGTGTGAGATTGTTGTGTGAGTGTTGTCCCACAGTTCAAGTTGCTTAACTGTACCCCCGCCTCTCTTTTTTTAAGGAACTCCATGAGGGCAGATACTTTATCCACAAGCAATATAAAAAACCGAATTGGTAACAAATTACCAGCTGAGAAATTTGCAGATGTCAGACATTTGTTAGATGAAAAACGTCAGCACACACGTCCACGGCCAGCTGGCAGCAGCACTAAAACAGGTATTGTTCACTTGTGTTTCTGGGCTCGATCCTGAGTTCCAGAGAGCAGATGCGGACAGGGGAGGTTCTTGAATAAAACACTGCCATTTGGGGACCAGTTTAATTGTCCTGATTCATCAGTTACAAATTTTGGGTTAGGCACTGGAACTTGAGGGCATGAAATTTCATCAGATTTTTGTAATACCAGCTTTTGATATTTTTGTCCCAACAGTGATTTTACTCTGTATGTCATTGGTATACATAAGGGTAATAGAAATTAGGTCGAATTATTGTATAAATGCTTAAGAATTTGAACTGGTTAGTTTATATGTGGAGACATGCACATAGTAGGCCATACCCGCTGTGTGCCAGGGCTAGGCACTGGGGGTGTCATAAGTCTTCACAGGGGATGCCCGCTCATCATAGACTCAGATGGAGCAGCATAAGGGCACATACTCAGGTAATTCTGCCTGAAGCTGAATGGAGTGAGTGGTCTGGTAGGCACTATGAGCAGTGGGCTGTGGGAGCAAAGAGGGGAGTGGGTCTTTTGGGGGAACACCTGTGGTGGGAGGCGTCTCAGAGCACATGGCAGTGGAATGAGGCCTCTGAGAGGAAATAGGATCTCAGTCAGCAAACCTAGTTCTTTGAGGTGGGAAGTAACCTGATCTTATATCTCTCTTAGATAAAACTTGGTGGTAGTGTAGGGTGCCATAGAGTTAAGTAAGTAACAAGGTCCTGAACTAGATCAGAGACGGTGGAGGAACTGATGAAAATGTCCAGCCTTGTGAAGGAGGAAGACTCAGCACTGGGAGGAAAGGGGAAGAAGGCGTGGGGCTCAGGCCTGAGGGGCTGGAAGATGGGGGCGCTGTTCTCAGCAGAGCGAGGTGGGAGAAGGCCCAGCACAGGGACTTGTTCATGAATGTTTGTGTTGTTCCCATTATTGTGAGAAAGCTCCAGAGGATTGGCAGATTCCGGAGGGGTTGGAGGAAAAGCAGACTTGATTTGGGACAGCTTCCCTTGATCTTTTGCTTTTTGTTAGTCTCATTACCGTTATTGTTCAGTGTGACAGTCTTTATTGACTAGCTTCTTATATGTTCAAAGAGTGGGGCTTCTGCCCTCAGGGAGCTTACAGTATTTCTCATTAGCTGCACTGTTTGTTAATTATTTGCTCTTGATTCTACTATTTAAAGAAAAAAAGACAATTCTGCCTCAGAAATTCCTTTCTAGAGCAGTCAGCCAAGGTTTCCCCCTACTGTGAGCCCCTGTGGGTTCTCATTTGAATTTTCTTGGGCTGTATAGAGGGAAGGCTTTTAGAAGCTTGGTTGTGCTGGGCCCCATGTCCTCACTTGGGGAGATTTGACATCAGGTCCTATAGAGATCTCAGGTTGGCAGTATAGATGGCAAAGTATGCTCACATGGTCACAGAAGTGCTTTTTTCTTTTTCTAGATATACGCCAGCGATTAGGAAAAAGACCATATTCTCCAGAAAAGGCTTTCAGTAGTAATCCAGTTGTTCGGAGAGAGCCCTTTTCTGATGTACTAAAATAAAAAAAATAAAATAAAATCAATACATATTAAAACAGGCTTTCTGTTAGATGGTTTTGCCCAATGGCTAATCTAAGTATTCTGAGCATGTTTAAGGTAGACTAACCTAAGCCATGATGTTTGGTAGGTTGTGTATTAAATGCCTTTTTTTTTTTTTTTGCCATACCATGTGGCTTGCAAGATCTCAAATCCCTAACCAGATATTGAACTCTGGTCATGGCAGTGAAAGCCCAGAATTCTAACCACTAGGCCACCAGGAAACTCCCTATTAAGTGCACTTTTGACTTAAAATATTTTCAACTTTGGGTTTACGGGGTTGAAATTCCATCATAAGTTGAGCAGGATCTGTTTAGCCAGATCTGAGAAGTACTGATTAAATAGATGAGTTGTATATCCCCCATGGAATCCTCTATGAATATTATTTCTTGCCTCAGTTTTTCATAAATTCAAGGTTATGATAATTAAACACATATTTGCATAGCTAATATTTTCTAAATGCCACTTATATGCTGGACGGTTGCTGTACAATGCCCTGATAATTAATGTGTGACCCGACTTCCATCCTCAAGGAGCTGAGAGTTGATCTACATTATGGACACCCCAGCTGGTGACACAAGGAAGGGAGGTAGGTGAGGAGACGAGAGGGACACAGGGCAGGCACCTGAGGCAGCCCCGAGTGGGTTCCCGGTAGAATGTATAGCTCATCTGAGACCTGAAGGAAAGTTTCAACAGGAGAGAAGGGTGGAGAATGGTGCAGTGTGTTCAATAATTTTCTCAATGATCTGGATGAGTACAGTCATCCCTGGTTCCAGGACCCACTGTCAATATACAAATCTGTGGGTAATCAAGTCCCAGAGTCAGCCCTCCATATCCCAGTTTCTGCATCTGAGGATTCAACAAACCATGGATCATGTTGTACTGTATTTACTGAAAAAAAAAATCTGCCTGTGAGGGCACCCTCAGAGCTCAAACCTGTGTTGTTCAAGGGTCAAATGTATTAGCAAATAAACATTATGAATGTGAGCTGCCATCCTTCCTCTGAAACAGCTGGAGGAGGAGCCCTTCTGCTACATGGCTGCATTGTAACCCAAAGTGTGCAGCAGGGGAGAGGAGCTCAGACCAGAACTAACTGAAACTTGGGAACAGGACAAGGCAACCAAGAAGTGTAAGCAGCCCCACAGACAGTCTGCAAGCAGTTGTGCGTGTGCTTGCATTTCATCCCACCACAACACTGTAAGAATCTGACATTTTACATTGAAGGCAATTGGGTTTATAATGGCAGGCCCCGAGTCGATACAGCCAAGGGTGGAGCCAGAACCTAGTGAAGGCCTGACCTTCGCCCAGGTCCAGGTTATTCCCATTATTCCATGTATACCAAGGCTTATACATGGATTCAAGACATCAACTGCTCATAAATGAAATGGGAAGACTTAGTTCAACAGTGGTTCCTGTGGGTGAAAATATTAATAGCTATAAGCTTAAGCACACATCTTAGATGTGTAAATAAGAGTATAAGAGGCAGATGGTGTCATGGGAAGCAGTCAGATGTTGGAATTAGGAGACCTGGGTCCAAAATTCAGCCTCATTATTTTCTAAGTGTGTGACTTTCGGCAAGATGCTGTGCATTCCTGAGCTTCAGTTTCTTTAATCATAATATAGGGTTAATAATGCCTATCTCACACAATCTTTAGTTAGTTGTTCAGACTCAGTTGTGTCTGACTCTTTGTGACCCCATGCACTGTAGCCCACCAGGCTTTTCTGTCCATGGGATTCTCCAGGCAAGAATCCTGGAGTGGGTTGCCATTCTCTTCTCCAGGGCATCATCTCGACCCAGGGATCAAACCCAGGTCTCTTGCATTGCTGGCAGATTCTTTACCATTTCAGCCACCAGATTAAAGACAATGTAGGTTTAGATAAGAAGCAGTTGTTTACAATACACTTATCAGAGAAAAGACTCATACCCAGAATATATCAAGAACCCCTAAATAAGTTTTTAAAAGACAGACAGTCCAATTTTTTAGGCGGGCAGAAGATATGAAGGGGCATTTCACAAAAGATGATATGCAGGTGGTCGACAAGCATTTGATAAGATACTGAACAGTATTTATTGCAAGGGAGGTGTAAATTAAAACAACGAAAAAACGGGGGAAAACAACAAAAAAACAACAAAAAAAATAATAAAAAGAAACCAAACGGCAAAGCCGAAGGGTGGCAAGCAAGTGGAGCTACTAGAACTAGGAGGTTTGTACTCATACTATCACTTTGGTAACTGGCAGCATCTACTAAAGCTAAGCAACCCCATGACCTGGCAATTTCATTTCTGGGCATAATCTCAATAGAAAGCTTGTGTCCACCAAAACACAAATATATGAAATGCACACAACAGCTTTATTTACAATAGTCCCAAACCGGATACAACCTGAATAGCCATCAATAGTAGATAAGGTAAAAAAGTGTGGTATATGCATATAAAGGACTCCTACATATCAATGAAAAACAATGAACTCTCATAGACATAACGCTGAACAATTCACAGTACTGTTTCTGGGGTGGGTGCTGAAACTGTTCTATATCTTGATCTGGGTGGCAGTCACCTGAGAATGTATATACACATATAAAAATTCAATGTGTTCACTTAAGGCTTGTGCATGTTGATGTATATAAAGTTAATCTCAATAAAAAAGTAAACAAAAAGTTTTTGTATGTCACGTGGTTGGAACAGAGGGAGCACCCAATAAATAGCTGTTAAAGTTTCTAGAGAAGAGGAAGCAGCTTTGTTTGCAAGTCTTTCAATACGAAATATGTGTTTGTTTATTCATTTATTTCTGGTGCGTCAGGTCTCCGTTGTGGCACACAGGTTTTCTCCAGCTGTGCCACGTGGGCTCCGGAGTGCATGGGCTCCGTAGTTTGCAGCATGCAGGCTCTCCGACTGAGGCGCCTAGGCTCAGCAGTTGTGCTCCCAGGGTTTAGCTGCCCCACGGCAGGTAGCATGTTAGTTCTCCGACCAGGGGTCAAACCTACATCCCCTGCATTGGAAAGCAGATTCTTGACCACTGGCCCACCAGGGAAGTCACTCAATAGAAAGTATTGATGATCAAAAATATTTGTCCCTCAATGCCAGGGTGGTTGCTACCTGCCCTGGGTCCATCATATCTCTTGGTGCTGGGCCTACTTTTTGCTTATAGATATTTGCCTAGTTATCTATATCGATAGAAAACTAATAAGACATAGTGAACAAGCTCAGAGGCATACTAATCAGAAAACATTTTATACACTACATATTTTTATCAAATTTATACCAAATTTTTGCACAAGCATTGTACATGTGCTTCTAGCAATAGACTTCCAGCAAGCTCTGATATATGTTGTGGGTAGTTATACCCTGTGAAAACTTCATTAGAGAAACTTCTTTCTATCCTGAACATTGGAGGCAATAGCATGCTTAGAAGTAAAACAATAACTTGCAGTTTTGACAGAGAGACATCAGTTGATAAAAAGCTCAGTTGAACTGGTATGATGGGTCTTACAGGTCTGGTCTGGATTCTTCGGTCAACTGTCTACCATTGCTGTTGTCATCATTTTATGCTGGTGTCATTTGGGATTAGCAGTCCTCCTATAGACCTGTTCAGGGCATAGGCCCTTCTTAAATGGGAAATGCAAAGTCAAGAGTCAAATTCCTTCAGTTTTACTGAGGTTGAGCTACTTAAGACTATTAAGGAGACTTTCTTCTAGGCTGGAGAGGTCCTTTCCCATATACATAATCTCGTGATTATAGGTCATGGGGCAACTGATCTTCATCCAAAGATAGATTGCTGTGATAAGCTTCAGAAACAAACATAGAGTGCACTTTTAATAATTCAATTAAACTTTACAATAATGTAACTTACCAACAAAGAGCTGTCTGGGGAGTGAGTCTTAGGCAATAAACACAGACCTTAATTAACAAAACTAGAATTTAATATTTACTGAAACATAATCTTTTTCTCTAGAATTACCCTCATTTCTACCAAATACAGCCAAATTAAGACTAATTTGTTTGTAATGTAGTCAGATTTCAAGCTTGGTCTGATTATTTCATATATGTTACAGATCGTAAAAGTTATTTTATTTTATTGGTCATGCCACATGTCTTTCGGGATCTTAGTCCCCCAGTTACGGATTGAACCAGGCCCCTGCAGCGATCCTAACCACTGGATCACCAGGGAATTCACAAAGGCTCTTTTAAATTAGCTGTGTTGGAACTTTTCATGAGGAATCTTAGAACTTGCAGATGTTCAAGCTGGGTTTAGAAAAGGCAAATGGCTCGGAGCTCAAGTTGTCAATATTTGCTGGATCATAGAGAAAGCAAGAGAATGCCAGAAAAACATCTACCTGTTTCATTGACTATACTAAAGCCTTTTACTGTGTGGATCATAACAAACAGTGGAAAATTCTTAAAGAAATGGGAATACCAGACCATCTTACATGTCTCCTGAGAAACCTGTATGCAAGTTAAGAAGCAACAGTAAGAACCTTGTGTGGAACAACTGACTGGTTCAAGATTGATAAAGAAGTATGACAAGGCTGTTTATTGTCACCCTGTTTATTTAACTTATACACAGAGCATATCATGTGAAATGCCTCGCTGCATGAATTACAAGCTGGAATTGAGACTGCCGGGAGAAATGTCAACAACCTCAGATATACAGATGATACCACTTTAATGGCAGAAAGGGAAGAACTAAAGAACTTCGTGATGAAGGTGAAAAAGGAGAGTGAGAAAGCCAGCTTAAAACTTAATATTAAAAAAACTAAGATCATGGCATCCAGTCCCACAACTTCATGGCAAATAGATTGGGAAAATGTGGAAGCAGTGACAGATTTCCTCTTCTTGGGCTCTAAATTCACTGCAGATGGTGACTGCAACCACGAAATTAGAAGATGATTTCTTCTAGGCAGGAAAGCTATGACTCTTGAGAGTCCCTTGAACAAGGAGATCAAACCATTCAATCTTAAAGGAAATC